ATTTCTTCATTGATGTTGCTGATTTTTCAATACATAAAACATGTTCACTACATCATTGCTTGACTTCTTTATATAGGATCCTTTATATTTACTTTAGGCTTTTATAGTTGTTTCCCTCGTTGAGAAGACCAGCTAATGATCATTATGTCTCTTTGTCTTTTCTAATAATAATATTTTTGCTTAATGAAGCAAAAGAATAAAATCATTAGGATTGTTGTGTAAGATGAAAAAAAAAAAGGTGATTGGGCTTTGGTGGTGATGCATATTTTTAGTAGTGGAAATAATGTCATTACTACACGCAATAACTAGTAACTGTATGAATAGGAATTGCACGCCTTAATTTTAGGCAATTGCAATGCATAGTAGCAAGCAAGAAAGAGACGTCTAGCATCAAATTAAACAACAATTATAAAGTTAATCCTAACAATTATGATGTCAGGAATTGATGATTAAGATGTTGGAGATTAATAACAAACAAAAAAACTCACAAAGAAGAAAACTCACAAGAATTTGAATAATGACAGAATATGATTATTGGATTAAAAAGATAGAAGTTCACCACCAAGACTAGACACTAAGGGATACAAAAACACCATACTAAGAATTCTAATCAAGGATACAAAACTATAGAAGTTCACCACTATAGGAAATCCACCTAAGAGATATAGAACTTGAAAAACAATCTAAAAGATTGCTTAAGGATAAAGAAAACTCTATTCTGGTTTTCTACCAAAGATTAACATAAAATAAATAGGCTAGGAACATCCCTTCAAGCATGGGAACTTCACAGATTGAATTGCTAGAATCGTGCCTAAAATCATGGGATTTGCATGTGAACATAATAATTTGTAATGTCAATACAATTATCTGCCCATTAACTCCTGTAGCTTACATGATAATGAATCTGACCACAATCCCATCCATCTTCATGCTTTTCTTTTTCAGTTAGTGTGAACACAATCTCTCTATTTCAACCCACCTTATTTGTTTAGTGGATTTGGACTAAGGATAGGCCCATCTTATTTTTGGATAAGTTTTCTTTAGTCTCAGCCTAAGTTGTAAGATGTGTAGACACTTTGAGGTCAATATTTTTTGGTTGGACAAGACTTGTTCTCAAGTCTAAATGGTAGGGTGACAAATCAACAACATTGAAGGTAGAAGATACTCCATAAGTGTCGAAAAGCTTTATCTTGTAGGCATTCTCCCTAATGCATTGGAGAACTATAAATGGACCATCTGCCCTAGGTTGTAATTTGCCAAACTTTCTTGGAAGAAATCTCTCTATCCGCATATTAATCCACACCAAATCACCTTCTTTGAACTCCATATATTTTTTATGCTTGTTTATTGCCTTTTTGTATTTCTCTTTTTTTTTTTTTTTGCAAAATCTTGGCCCTCACTTGTTCATGCAATCATTTGATACCCTTAGCCATTTTTTCTACATCTCTACTAAATTATTAAGTAGTAGGGAGATGAACTAAATCTAAAGAGCTGTTTGGATTCTTACCATACACCACCTTAAAAGGGCTGTAACCAATGGTTTGGCTTAGTGAGCAGTTATAGGCGAACTCTACTTAAGGTAAAACAAGTTCCCACTACTTGATATTATTTCTCACATAACTTCTTAGAAGGTTGCCCAAGCAATAGTTGGTTACTTTCGTTTGACCATCTATTTAAGGATGATAAAAAGAACTATAATTCAGATTGATACCAAGCTTCCTCCAAAGGCTATGCCAAAAATGACTAAGCCACTTGAAATCCCGATTAGACACCATGATCTAGGAACTCCATGTAGCCTCACAATTTCATTAAAATACATATCAAAAACATAAGAAGAATCTATAGTTTTGGTACAACAAATGAAATAGGCTATCATGGAAAAATGATCCATAACCACCATGATGGAGTCTTTGTTCCTTTGAGTTCTAGGCAATCCAACTACAAAGTCCAAACTAACATCCTCATGAAAAGCATTAGGCACGGGCAGTGGAGTATACAATCTAGTGTTTTGACCATGGCTCTTGGTAATGTGGCACACTTTACATCATTCAAGGTGTTTCATCACATCCCTCTCCATTATTCGCCAATAAATTATGTCCTACAAAAGCACAAGTGTCTTGTCCCTGCTAAAGTGTCCACCTAACGCATCATCATAAGCCTCATTATTTAAGGCCTGTCTCAAGGAACATGAGGGAATGCAAAGATTCTTAGCTTTGAAGAGATATCTATCATGTAATGAAAACTGGTTGTCTAGTCCTTGCTTGCATTCTTCCTAAATTCAACCAAAATAAGGGTTTGCCTTATTAAGCCCTTTGATCACATCAAATCCAATAACTTCAATAGCCATAGTCCCTAATAAGGAGTGCTTTCGACTCAAAGCATCTGTTACCACATTCTGAGTTCCTAATTTATGTTTGATAATGAAGTTGTAAGCTTAAAAGAACTCTACCCAAGCTATATACCTTCGGTTGAGCTTGTGCTGGCTATTAATAAACTTCAAGGCCTTATGATCTCAATATAAGACAAATGGCTTGGCAAGGAGATATTGACTCCAATGGAATAAAGCACTATATATCGTGTAGAACTCCTTGTCATAGGTTGAATACTTCTTCTTGGCTTCATTGAACTTCTCACTGAAAAATGATATAGGCTTTCTTCCTTGACTTAAAATAGCACCTATTCCAGAATTTGATGCATCACATTCCACTTCAAACACTTGATCAAAATCTGGTAAGGACAAGATTGAAGCTTCAGTGATCCTAGTCTTAATGAGCTCAAAGCTGTGTTGGGTTTTTTTAGTCTATCTAAAAGTTTGATACTTCAAACATTTGGTAATGAAAGCCACGATGGAGCGAAAACTCCTAATGAAACGCCTATAAAAAGATGCAAGGCCATGGAAGCTTTGGATATCATGTAGAGATGCTAGTGTTGGCCAATTTAAAATTGCCTTAACCTTGTTGGGATCCATCTTTATTCCTTCTTTTGACACCACAAACCCTAGAAACACAAGGCTAAAAGTAAAGAAACAGCACTTTTTAAAGTTAGCATAGAGTTTTTATTCTTTTAATATGCAAAATAGTTGGTGTAGATGATTCAAGTGTTAGTCTTCATCTTTCCTGTACACCAAAATATCATCAAAATATACTACTACATACTTGCCAATACAAGGTTTAAAGATATGATTCATAAATCTCATGAATGTACTAGGACCATTAGATAAACCAAAAGGCATTACCATCCATTCATAAAGACCATCCCTTATTTTAAGGTTGTTTTTCACTCATCTTCAGGACTCATTATGATTTATGATAACCACTGTATAAGTCTATCTTGGAGAAAATAGTTGCTCTATGTAGTTGGTCCAACAAGTTATCTAAGCATGGAATAGAAAAGTGATAGTCAACTATGATTTTGTTGGCCACCCTACTGGCCACACACATACATCATGATCCATCCTTCTTAGATACCAAAAGGGCAGGAATGCAAAAGGGCTCATGCTTTCATGCATCATTTCTTTTCTCACCAATTCATCAACTTGGCTTTGCAACTCTGCATGCTCTTTAGGACTCATCTTATAGGCTGTCTTGTTAGGTAGAACAGCTTCTGGGATAAGGTCTATGTAGTGTTGAATGTCCCTTATTAGTGGTAGACCAACTGGTAATTCTTCTTGAACAATATCTTGAAATTCTGCCAATAATGGTTGTATCATTACAGAGGGCTCCTCATTATCTTTATTCTCCTTAATCAGCACTAATGCATACATAGTACCACCCATCTTAATTTTTTTTCTATAATTGGCCTCAGTAAACAAGCTACCTCTTTCCTCTTTGGTTAGTTTTGACATCAATATGGATTTGGTAGGCCTAGCATGATTTTGCATCCATCATTCACAAATGTGTAAATGTTGTGATAAACATCATAAATAACCCTCTTATCATAATGCCAAGGTCTTTTGAGTAGTAAGTGGTAAGCATCCATCAGAGCTACATCACACCATACTTCATCCTTGTATTGCTTTTCTATAGAAAAAGGAAACAAACACCTCTTGCTAACCTTAGTTTCATTCTCTTTTTGCAACCAAAATAGCTTACATGGATAGGGGTGATCACTCAATGATTCCAAGGACTACATGCTTGTAATCTTTAAATCTGGTGTCTAATAAGGCTATTCTGGTACAAACAAGAATTCCATTTCTGCCATGAAAGGTTAAAGCAATTCTGATAGCACCAAAGTGACTGTGAGTGTAACCTTGTTCTGACCACTAGTGAGGAAATTCTTTTGGGATCTGAAGAGTAACAAAGTGCTCTTGAGGTCCTGCTGGAAGAATACATTGATCAAAGTTTGTGGCTTGAACATATTCTTTTAGAGCTGGACATTTGGGTTTTAAAAGAGTTTTTAAAAATCTAGTAAAAGAAGAAAAGGAGTTTGAGAAAGCTGTATAAGGATTTACAAGGGGTAGAACTGTTTGTTGGGTTTTCTTTTCTTCTGGAATGTAATCTACTTCTGTCTTGTAGCACTATGAGTGTCATCATTTGAGAGAACGATGAGTGTGTGCTGGAGAGAGGTTGACGTGTGAGTTATCTGCGCCTAGTGTGAAATCATAGCCGATGTTTTCTAACCATTGATCTGGATCAAAATCATCAAGTGGGTCTTGAGAATCTTGCCATTCCATTTGTGGTATAACTTCAGGAGGTTTCCAGTAAGGATTCCATTCTACTGGGCCTGCATGGTCAAGTTCAAATCTGGATGATGATGATGATGATATTCCAAAGAAGCAAAAGAAGAAAAAGTCTTCCCAGCAAAAGCTCAAAGAAAGATACGAAAATGGAGACCCTGAAGTTGATCTTCTTGGTGAACCATCAGGAAAGTTTGACTATTATGTCATCTATCCTAAGAAAGACAAACCACACACTCAAACCTACTCAAATCAACCCACAAAAAAACTAGATTCTACCCAAAATTCCACCCAACCTTTACCCAAACCTTTACCACAAATCTCCATGATGCAACCAACCTACCCAAACTCAGATTTCCCTCCTTTTCAAGAATTTCACAAAGACCAATACAAACACATTCCAAAAATCCCCACTCCCACTGACAGAGATGAATATGGGAACCAAAAAAGTGTTTCTCATGCTAAAGCAGTTTTAAACTGGCAGACTGAAAATTCTCTCCAGTAGAATTCATACCTACACAGAATTGAACATAAGTTGGACCAAGTCAGTCAACATTTTGATCAAAGCCTTGTTAATCTTCAAAATATTATTCTTGAAATTCAGTCAAGGATAATCACACTTGATCAAGAACTCAGATACATGACTGAAAACAACACTGGATTCACTTATGCTTTCACTGAACGAGAGAAAGAAATGAAAAGCCTAAAAATTCAACTTGTAGACATTCAAAATCAGTTTCATCAGAAACAACAACAACAACAACAAGTAGCGTCGAGTTACAACATCTTCACACCATATCACACTGGTATGCTTGATACTCCTTACTAAGCCTATACTCCTCCTCCATTTCAACCATACAATCCTCCAACGTCACCTCCAAAACCTTTTTTCACACCTTTTCAGTACAAACCTCCCCCAACATCTATCCCAACATCCTCACAACCAACACAATACTTCACTCCTATCTCAGACCAACCAGAACAACCCCCTTTTGGTACAACTAAAAAATGGATTCATAGATTTCGAGAAAAACAACCAGTTGATCCAAAACCCAAAAGAGTAGCAGAACAACGACTTTCTCAACCTTCAAAACCAAAACCAAAACCAAGCTCAAGTTCTACACCTCAAAACCCTACACCACAACCAAACCAAAAACCCGTACAACTTATGATTTCTTCTACACAAACCCTTCTAGAAATACTTCACCAGATGGCACAAGACAAACTTCTTTAGTTCTCCCTTGAAGATATTTTTCCTTCTACCTTTGAAACTGAATCTCACATGGAACTGTCAAATCAGATGAATCAGTTGAAATAGATGATACTGATGACTCAGATGAAATGATGCTCCCTCATATTTTTATGACAGAACCAATAGTTGAAGTTCCAGAAGATACTCCAGAAGTCTATAACCTAGATACAATGGATGCTGAACAACACCCTCCTCTACAACAATCATATGTTCCTCCTTCAACATCAAAGTTCTCAGTTTTTACCATTGATGATGTTCCTCCTTCAAAATGGCCCTCAAGATTTCAAGAGTTCTTAGCATGGGGACTCGTTGAATTAAACTCTCATCCCAATGTTACGATGAACATAGTTTTGATCAGATTTGTTTCTAGACTAGTTGGAACTCTAAAAAATTTTTGGGACAACATTGGTGAATACAGACAACTCTAGTTTCTTCAATGCCCAACAATCACAGAAGTTGTCTCTCAATTTGCAGCAATCTTTTGTGGATAAGAAACTCACAAATTGGAAAAGATCAGAGAACAATTCTTCAAACTAAAATGTTGTTCTCTCCATCCAAAAGACCTTGACAGACACTATCAACAATTCTCCCAATATTTCTACATACTTGGCGGATTCGATGATGTCAACTTAAAGCAAGCATTCCTTAATTCTGTTCCAGAAGAACTTGCCCAGCAAATAAGGACCCAGTTGAACCTCAGATCCCTTGATGTTAAATCTATGACCCTTGGAGATATCTACAAGATGATGTTGACAGCACTTGATAAGACTTACAAAGAGCACAAATACATTAAAACCTTGGTGCACAACTCTAAAAAGCTAAAAAAGCCATGTTCTTACTCCTCCTCAGGAATTCAAATCAAATGTTCTTCCAAAGATCCCGCTAGTTTTTGTAGCAATAAGAAAAAGAAGCATTTCAGAAGATTCAAACCTTCCAGACCCCCAATAATCTCCAGACCCAGACATAAGAAGTTCTTCAGATATGTTGATAAACCCAGAAGATTTCAAAGATTCAAATTTGCAAGAAAGAAGAAAGATCCAAAGATCAAAAGCTCAAAATGTTTTCTTTGTGGAAAACTAGGACATTTTTCAAAGAATTACCAAAAGTCAGACAAAAAGTCAGTCAAGATGATCTAAGACATTGCTACTATCTCAGGTATCAATCTCTCAAATGATGATCTTGAATCAATTTTCTCCCTTGATGATGAGCAGAATGAAAGATCATTGTTTATCATTAAGCAGCTTGATGATGATGAGTATACAGATTCAAACTACTCAGAATACTCAGATGATTTCACAGATGATCAATGTTATGAGTATATGTCAGTTCAAGAACTCCAAAAAATCCAAACCCTTCAACCTCCAAAATTACCCCTAGCCCCAGTTCAGATCTTTCCTCACAAACATTCCCCTCCTATAACAGTCACAGCTTTCTTTGATACTGGTGCAGCCTAAACCATAGCAAACCCCCTTGTCTTACCCAAACACTTTTGGACCAAATAAAAAACCTTCTTCAAAATCGCTGATGAAAATGTATTTTCTACAGACTTTGTCAGCAACCCTGTTACCCTTCAAATCTTTCTAGAATGTCAAATAACTCAAAAGATTTTAGGATCTCCACTTTCCCAGAAAGACCTTGTTATTGGTTTTAATATCATTACCAGTATACCAGGTTTATAGCTCAATGGAAAAGGTATCAACTTTGAAAGTTATTTTAGACCTGGGAAAAACCTTCCCAATCTTGTCACCCTTACCATTTAACCAGATGTTTTTCAAGAATTCAACCACAAGTTCATTCACTTTTTGTGTGCAGAAAATCTCTCAGATTTTTTCCAGAAATGTGATCATCCACTTTGGAAAAACCCTGAATTTTTCATTTCCCTTCCATTCAAAAAAGATGAAAATGCCAACCCTACAAAAGCTAGTCATTCAGGCATGAACCCAGACCATTTCAAGCAAGCAATCCAAGAATGCTCCCTTTTTCAAGCTCAAGAATTAATTGAACCAACCTCCTCTCCATGGGCATGTGAAGCGTTTTATGTCAACAAACGTTCAGAACAAGTTTGTGGAAAATTAAGATTTGTAATCAATTACAAGCCTCTTAACATTTTCCTTGCAAATGATAAGTTTCCTCTTCCAGAAAGAAAAACTTTGTCTGCAAATTTAGCAGATGCAAAAGTCTTCTCAAAGTTTGATCTCAAAGCAGGATTTTGGCAACTAGGTATACATCCATAGGACAGATACAAAACGGCATTTTGCATTCCTCAACACCATTTTCAGTGGACAGTAATGCCTTTTGGATTAAAAGTTGCTCATTCACTGTTCCAGAAAGCCATGACCAAGATATTTGCTCCAATTCTTGATAATGCCTTGATTTACATTGATGACATCTTACCGTTCTCTCCTGATGACACCTCTCATACACAGTTATTGGATAAGTTCCAGCGCATTGTTTAATAGTATGGGATAATGTTTTCAAAGAAAAAGATGATCATTGGTGCTACAGAAATTGATTTCCTACGCATGCATCTTAAAGATGGTCAGTACATTGCTCAACCTCATATTGCTCAGTCACTTGCAGATTTCCTTGATGAAAATCTTTCAAAAAAGTAAATCCAAGAATTTTTTGACATAATCAATTACATGAGTGAATTTCTCTTAGATATTGCCCAGCTTACACATCCACTCAGACAGATGCTCAAGAAAGAACCACTCACATGATCTCAGATCCAAACAAATGCAGTACAAGCCTTGAAGATAAAAGTAAAGTCACTTCCCACTTTAAAGATTCCTTCTGATGGAAAAAGACTATTGCAGACCAGTGCTAGTGAACAGTTTTAGTCAGCAATCCTTTTAGAAGAAAAAGATGGAACCAGACAAATCTGTGGTTACAAGAGCAGAAAATTCAAAGATTCGAAACTCCATTATCACTCTATACTCAAAGAGATTTTAGCTGTCAAGTATGGAATCCAAAGATTTGAATTTCACCTCATTAGATTTCACTTTCTAGTGGAATTGGATATGTCAGCCTTTGACCAGATGCTCAATTTCAAAAAGAAGAAAATGCCAAATGCACAGTTACTCAGGCTATCACAGTGGTTCTCACAGTACTTCTTCACCACCGCACATATAAAAGGCAAAGATAACCTCATTCCAGACATGCTCACAAGACCTCCTTCAAAACCTCCTTCAAGCACCTTGTCGGTTATTCCAGTCATTTCCATGATGAACCCAACACCTTCTTCTTCACAAGCCTCTTCCTCAAAAAAACCTTATTTTCCCTTCTTCTCAAAAACCTCACCTTGATAATGAATTCCTTAACCTTTCCGTAAAAAATCTTCCTCCAGAGTTACCCAAACTTCTTGCCACTCAAACCCTTGACCAAAAAGCCTCACACCTCTTGCTCAAATACCAGTCCAAAACACTCAAAAAGTTTGGAGACACCTCCATTCAATCTTTTGGTATACACCCTAATTATCCCTTCATCCATCCTTTTAAATTCCCTGAACCTCTTTGTTTCCCAAAAAAAATAGTTTGTTTTATGTGGTACCTTTGTCACCTTTACTATATTGCTGTAGAATTCTCACTTCCGAAGCTCAAAACCCTTCTTCACCTTTTTCAGCAGTCAACCATCAACCCTACCAAACACCAGTTGGACCCCAGTCAACAAAATCTCAAGTTTTTCTTCACTTGGTTCAGACCCATTCCCATTTGGATCTAATGGATTGAAACCTATGAGAGATATACAAAAGTTCTTCTTGATCCCCATATTATTTTAATCTTTCACAGATCTTGTAGCTGTTTGACAAAAGACCCCCAGTATTTCCCTTATATAGTAATTTACAGCTTCTAAGGATATTCGTTGTTTGATTCCCAGTTTGATCACAGTTGAATACACTGAATTTCAGAGACAAATTTGTGAAATGAATCATAAATTTCCCAAGCAAAAAGGCCAGAACTCCAAGATTAAGTTTCATGGGGAAGCTATCCTTCAGAATATAATTACTAGCTCAAAATTGATAAAAAGATTTATGAAACCCGACTTAATGGTACTTGGACAAAACCTCTTTCTGATACTACCAGATTTGAACTTGACCATGTAGGACTAGTAGAATGGAATCCTTACTGAAAACCTCCATGAAGTTCTACCACAAATGGAATGGCAAGATTCTCAAGACCCCCTTGATGATTTTGATCTAAATCAATAGTTAGAAAACATCGGTTATGATTTCACACCAGGCACAGACAACTCACACCTCAACCTCTCTTCAGAACACACTCATCGTTCTCTCAAATGATGACACTCATGGTACTACAAGATCGAAGATTCCTTGTTCCAGTCCAATATTGTATAATTACGCGTGATAATTTTAGCTTTCTCCAGAAGACTCCAAAGAGTTGATTGTGATGCCTCCACATCAAGATAACTTTATGTCAAGTCTTCATTAACTTTATGTCTTAGTCAAGTCATAATGAGTCACTGCACTTTAGTATGAATCATAGTGATGAGTCACTGTACCATAAGTGATGAGTCATTGTACCATAATAATGAGTCATTGTACCATAGTAATGAGTCATTGTACCATACTTATGAGTCACCGTCTTTTAGCTTTACCTTAAGCCACTTGTAAAGTTGCTTTGTCCTATTCTTGTCCTATTAGGTTACTATTCTTTTACTTTTTCCTTGTATAAATAGAATGATACTTCTCTAGGAAGTAATCAAGAGTAAAAAGAGTAAGAATAGAAAACATCTAGGAAGGATCCACAACCTATCAAAAACATCCCTTGTAAGAAACCTTTCTTTATAAAATATGTTTGGCTAAAAACCTCTCTTCTCTTTTGGTAATGCCATCTTCCTTTTTCCATAGTTAATCTTTTAGCTTCATGCTTCTCTTCAAACTATTCAAAGTTTGCAGTGATTCAAGTTGAGTATGCTCTGCAGTTACCATATTATTATGGATCTTCTACATCAGAAAATCTTAT